TATAATACGAAAAATTAAACAACGACTATATTTGACTAGTCCTCTGTAGTCAGGCATAGCGGACATCCCTATTTTATCACAATACTGTTGTCGATCATTTGCCGATCATTTATTCAATTATCACATAATATAAATACCGTTGCTAAAAAAATTTACATAATAATATATGCTTAAATTTCACAAGTAACTTAAATTTAGTTTTAATTTATTGTGTATTAAATTTCATTAGAAACTTTTTAGCTTTTATTATTATTTGGCATATATTTATTCATTTTACGAAATTATTCACTAATTATGTTACTAATAAAAAACCTGCATTATGAATCAGATCACTGCATTATTTTTTTTATAGATTCTACATAATATAAAGAATATTTGTGCAAATTCTTAAGTTTCGCACTCGCATATTCATCTTCGCACTTTAATTTTTGTCTGATGATCGGCAATAATTAGTGAATTATCATAAACAAATAATATATTTATAATATTATTAAAAATTGTGCTAATAATTATATAATTAAAATCATATAATAATTTAGTGTTTTTACTTAGATTCCATTATTTTTTTGCCACATTATTTGAAAAATATTTGTGATTTTGCAATAAGTTTTTAAAATCCGGAATTAGTGATCAGCAAATGATCGGCAAGGTGATATGAGCATGTCCGCTATGCCTTCTGTAGTCCAGGTTAAGGAGGCCCGCCCGTTGAATTCGCATCAGAAAACGCGTTGTATATCATTGACTAAGTCAGAACTCGATATGACAACCCTCCATTCAAGGTAAAACAAATGTTCTAATTGTACCGCTTAATAATACAAATTAAAAAAATATATATATTTATGCTAGGATGCTTGTAAAATATCTTAAAAATAGTTGTAATTAAATATAGGAAAGAAAAAAATACTGGTACGAATCGATATTAAACACACGATGAATAAAAATGAATTAATTAAAAATATCGATGAATTTAATAATACAGTAGAATAGATATACGGTAATTGATTATTTTGTAGAAGGTGACGAAAATAAAATTATAGAATTAAAAAATTATATGATGGGAGATAAAATATAAGATGAAATAAATATAGTGTGTGGAGGAAAACAGATACGAGTTGAACAAGTTAATCATATAGTGTATACTTATTGGGCAAGAAAATAATTGTTTTGAGGTGAAGGAAGAAGACAATAAATATATCATGATGATGAGTAGTGAGTACGGATGATACAGATTTAAAAAGAGCACTTTTACAGACGATAATATTATATTATCGTTGTTGGTATGTAGTAAGCAAGAAAAGTAAAGCCTATTTAATGTCAAGCAAACTTAATCAAAAATTTTGGTAAGTAAAAATATAATAGATATTCTTAGAAATAAACTTTATAATGAGTTGGTGGTGATTGATACAACAGATGGAAAACTAACGCAAGAAATTTGAAGAAAAAGCAGAGGAACTCAATAACGAGATCAACATAATAAATTATAATATTGCTCTCGATAAATATGTTTTACGTTGGAAAATAATATTATATAAAGATAATAGGAATTGGACTAAAAAGAAATTCCCGAGTTGAATGTTAATGTGATACAAGAAATAGTATTAAATTTATCGTAAATCGCAACAAAGTCAAGCAAACGTTAACGAACGATGGTGACACTTATAAAATTAAAATTTTTTTTAAGAGAACTTCCAACATACAATCGGCTCTCGATACAATAAACCCTCTGGTTTTCACCTCAAATTCGCTATAAGATTATAGAAAAGAATTTAAGAAATTTAATTGGCTGATTCGTTATAACGATCGGTCAAATGTCACGTGTTGAGAAAAATGCGAGTTCGTTATATCGTATATCGAGGGCTGACTGATGGCGATGCTGAAAAAGTATATTTAGGAGATGATAGGTATCTAGGGAGGCCGAAATGCTTATTCCTCTAGTTAAAGGAAATGTTGTTAGAAGGAGGCATTTTTTACTAACAGTACGATGAGAAGTCCGCGGGTGAAATTTTTGGTTTTTAGGTTACGTAAGGTATGCTAATTTCCATTGCACATGTACCGTGCGGACTGTTGTTAGTGAGAGCTTAGGGGTTATTAGTTTATGAAGTTTTAGTACATTAGATAGAACTAACGAACTAACGTTTATTCGTTCATTTGTACCTACAGTACCTTTATGTCCGGAATTAATCATGGAATTTATCGAATTATTTACATTTTCCGTATGAAAGGCTCGTTTTTACAGAAATGACGGATAAAATTTTTTTATAGAGATGGAACTCGAAAAATGTTAATGGGAAGACGAATACAACAGAAAAATTTAAATTTGTACGGACTATTAATGATATTTACAAGAGGCTGATCAAAGATAAGAACTTACTAGGGAATTATATAATCGAAAATTTGATAAGCCAACGAAAAGCAAGGAAGAACGTATTGTAACAGAAGAAATTTGGATAGAATGTCATGAAAAATTAAAAGAATTAAAGATGTAACGAGGTGATACAGAACGTACCCGTGAAAAAAAACCAGAAAATACAAAAAATTGTAAAATTAAAAAAAAAACTAAAAAAAAAAGTATTTTAGAATTATTATTAATAGTGTATTATAACTACAAGTCTTCAACAATATTGTTAGCAGATAATTAAAACATTATGTTTTAGATGTTTACATGTATGTATGTTTATTTAACATCAATAAAGAAACACATAATATCAAAAAAATAAATTACATATAATTTATAATTATGCTTTTATTTTTTACGCGCACTTTCAGAGGGACCTATCGAAAATCATCAGGTGACCTGCTGCACTTAATGCAGGTAAAAAATAATTTAATGCAGGCCAGATTTAGAATGATATCGGCTTATTGCGAATGAAACCGATTTTGGTATAGTTTAAATCCGACTTTGGTAGATTAATAATAATGGTGTTATGAGAAAATCGGATTATCCCGACTGTAAGTTGCGGGATTTCAGAACTATTGGAGGAAAGATCTGCTGGGGCGCATACAAAATTCAGGTACATAGACCCGATAAAATATATATTAGGAAATTCATAACTAATTTAACTAATTAAAATATAGATAAAATACTATTCGTTAAAGAATTCCCACAGAATTAATAAGTAATTGTACTAACTATTTTTTTTATTCTTCTTGTAGAAATTAGACATATTAAAAAAATTAGTTTATTTAATATTGTAAAATAACCAGTTTTTTTTTTTTGTAACAATTTGAAATAATTTTATTGTACATTTTATTGTGAATTGTCATATGTAAAAAGGTAATAAAATCAAAAAATGAAAAAACATTACAAAATAAATTTATAAACAAAAAAACCATTTTTAAGATTCCTTGGTAATGTTTATGTTGATATTGTTACTTGGTATTGTCATCGTTGTTTATTATTGTTATTGTTAAGGCAAGCGATCGACGTTTTTGGTAGTTGGTCTAACTGCCAAAGTTGCTGAATCAAATTTTTTAAACAATTAAAACAATTATAATAAAATTTACAATTATTGAAATTATTGATCATCAACGACAATTTAAACGTTCAAGATTTAAAAAAGTTACCCTAGTAAATTGAAAAAGTATATTAAATTTATACTAAATTAGGTAGTATTAATTTTGAACCATGTAATATTTAATATACAGTATTAATAAAATTTCATATTAATATTAACCTTTTTATGAAGAAAATTATATTTACGAATTTTCCCAAAATTCCCTTCTTTTTAAGGAGTAAAATGTATAACTCTTAGATTTCTAGGGAGTAAAAGTCAATTTACTTTGTTTCTTTTTATAAGGAGTAAAGTTTTTAATTTTCCAGTTATTTCAAGGATTATCGTGTATGACTTTCACGACGCAACCGTGATCACACGATTCTTTGTAAAACATATTAGCGTTAGAATGATATTCATTTGCATTATCATTAATTATCATTAAAATTATTAAGATTTATGGTATTTAAATAACTTACATTATTATTGCATACATAAGGATTATCATATTCATGTATATTATAAATTTCTAGCGAACAATTTCATACCGCAGCGCACATTACTGACGTACTTTTTTGAAAATATATAGATTCAAAATTAGAGGTTATTTCTCTCAATAACTCGCATTTTTATGATACAAATAAGGATGATTTTTGCACCAATCCTTAATAAGTCAAATTATAATTATTCACATGTATCACCTTTCATACTTTAATGTTTTTTAAATATTGCATCTATACTCACGTGAATCTCATATATTTCGTAATTTTAATATATGCCCACGTTTTATACTTCAAGTTTTATAATGTTGCAGTTCTTTCGAGTATTACTTTAAAAAAATTACTTGCGTAACTCAAACACCAATATCTCCGATACCTTTTTTTGGTAAATTTCCATTTTTATTTTATTTCCGTCCTTTTAATTATCGTGCGTTAGTACCTTTTGTAATGATAAGTATTATTATTATTATGTAAGATGATCTTTTTTTCTAAAGAAGTATAAAAAAAATTAAAAAATTAAAAATATTAAAAAAATACATATATATTTAATAAAGAAAAATATATTTTTAATATTTTAAAAGGATTTTCCCGAATATTTGTTGTTTTGGCTTCTTTTGTCATACCATGCACACATTCCAAAAAGTAACACAATGATCAACCTGCAATAATTTAAATATCCAATAACTTCTTATTTTGTAAATTAAAAATACCCTTTTTAGGTTTAACCTTAATAAATTAAAATGAAAATATATGTACTAATGTAACGCTTTTTTTTTATTTTATTTTTTAAAATAAAATAATTTTTTCTTATTTGAAAAATTATCATTAAAAGGAAAGGTTTTAAAGTGACATTAATTAGAATTTTGAGTCGTAACCGGCTTATGTTGCTATTTATTTACTACATACATTACAAAAAAAAAAAAATTATATAATCTTCTATTATTTTCTTTTAATATAATTATTAATAATAATATTAATATTTATTTTATATTTATAATTTAAAAAAAAAATGACAACAAATACATCGACAAAGAAACCCGTTAATGATTTAATTAAATTTTGGGCGGAAAAACAAGATAAAGATAAAGAATTAGAACAAACTCCAAGATCACCTCGAAGACCTTTATCACCAACTTCTTCTTTACCTCCTTCTCCGTTAAATGAAAATTTTTATTCAAAATCATTATTTAAAGATATACCATCAAATACTCCTCCTTTAACTCCATTATATACTCCTAATAATATACACTCTTTAATATCTGAAGAAGTTGATAATATTAATGGTCGTTCTGAAAAATTGGATTTATCATCACAAAATGTTTCACAATCTGATTCTCCAGAGGATGGAACTTCAATTAATATTACTAATAATAATAAATTAGTTATTAATACTGATCTTAATACTAAAGATTATTTTAGTAGGAAACCTCGAGATTATGATCTTAATAATATTAGAGATAATAAAATTTCTCGTCCTTTACCTCCTGTTAGAAAAGTAACTGATCTTGTAAGCAAATTTGAAAAGGTTGCTTCTCCTACTAATTCCGTACAAACTTCTCCAAGATTAACTCCAATAAAACGTGGTCAATCTTTCGCTCAATCTTCTCCTTCTTCTCCACGTATTCAACTTACTCCTGAACCTTTATCATTAAATCTTCCGAATCCTTCTACTTTAAGTACGAAAGCGAAACGTAGACAAACTGTTCCTGAACCTTTAAACTTTTCACCAAAGAAATTTACTGATGATGATGATGGGAATTTAAATAAAGATTGTGAATCAACTCCGGCTTCTCCAATATCTCCAATCGAAAATTTATCAAATAATATTCCGATTGCTCAACCAACTTCTACATTAAATACAACTGTTTCAATACCTGAAAAAACAACGTCGGTTAAACTTAATGCTCCTGAAAAGCAACAAGAATCATTATCATTAAAGAATAATGATGATAAGCAAATTAAAAAAAATGTATCAATAGTACTTCCAGATATATCAAATTTGAAACCTTTACAACAACAGCAGCAGCAGCAACGACAACGTCAACAACAGTTTCAACAACAGATACGTCCTATTTCAATGGTTAAAAAGGATTGTTTGGATTTTTTGACAGAAACCTTTAAAGATACTTCATTTGATTTATCAAATCAATCAGGTTCAACAAATGATTTGAAATATTCAAGTGAACGTGGTTTTATCTTACCTGAAGTTACTCCTATTCGGAAACCAACTACCGAAAGTACAAAAGTTTCAGCTCCGCCTTTTCTGAAATCAATCTCAGAAAAAATCATACACACTAGACATTCGAATCCTATTTCACGAAGTAAAACTTTTCCAAGACTTTCACATAATACAAATAATGAAACTTCAAAAAATTCAAATCTTCATGAAATTGCCGATTTATTACCTCAACCTGAACCAGTTTCTCCTATTCGTCTAAATTTCTCGGATTTTTCTGATTCACCAAATGGTTCTTCAACAAATTTGAATTCGATTTCTCCTTTGGATGATAAAGTAAATTTTGAAAAATCAAAGAAGGATGGAGAAAAAGAAAAACAAATTAATAATAATACTCTTATATACAAAGTTGTGGTTGAATCTAAATCTGAAGGTAAAGAGTGCAACTATAAATTTTTGTTTATTCGTGAAAATTTTACAAAATTTTCTTAAATTGGTAACATGAATCATATGACTAACATTTAACCTTTTCCTTTAGCTTCCAAGAAGAATGAAAATCCTAAACCTATAAGGCATCTTAGCGGATCGATCCAATTATTTGAAAATTTGAAACGTTATTTAAATAATAAACAAAAGAATTCGGATGATATCAATCCGTCGACAAAAAAGTTATCCCAAAATTTCAACAACGATAACCAGCTTAACCAATTGTATTAAGATGAGACAACAAAACTTATAATGCACACAAAATTTTTTAATCGGAACCGGAGTCTTGTAAATACGGAATGACGAAATTTTTTCAGTTAGATATAGACATGATTAAGGCACTTTTTATATAATAGACACTTGCGTATTAATTATATCATTGTGTATTTGTAAATCATGTTAAATCAAGTTTTCGTCGGGGAATTCTCCGTATCATATGTTAAATATATTTATTATTCAACCCTTTCTTTAGACCTACTTTTTCATCATTAGGTCTTTTGTATTATAGTATTATATAGAAGGATATTTAAATTCATTTTTAATCAAGAGCTATTCTAAAAATAACAAGATTAAACAAGATATAAAACATTGCATATATATATATATACTCGTTTCTTTGGTGAATTTAGTGAAATGTGTTTTGTGTTGGAATTCCTACACGAGTTGGGACTCCAAAGTACCGGATTAATTAATTGAATTGATCGTCACGCAAGAGAATTGACTCTGGGGATAATGATATACCACAATTAAAGAAGTCAAAATAAAATATATCCAACTTCTTGAGACAATAAATATTTATAGGATTCTTAGAGAAAATTATTTATTTTTACACTAAATTTGGAGCGTCTCAAATTTATGTGATTACTGGTGTAATGTATGGGTAAAGTGCGTAAGCGCATCGTCCCTATATTAATAGATATGTAATATGATGAAGGATATTAACCATCACGAATAGGTAAATAATTCATATTAATTGGAGTATAACTTAGTCCTCGTAATTTAGACCCTTAGTAGTATAATCTATTTCGGTATTGGAGTTTCGATCTCCTATATTGTTACTTTAATAAAAATCATTTTTTTATTATCTATATTTAAATTGTAAACAATATTTCGAACACACGATCGAATTTTAAAAAGTAAATATTAAAAAGTAATACTTACGGACCATGATCATGGGAATATGTTTATAGAGTTCCAAAACCGGCTTTCATCTTCAGTTTGACCCGTTTAGCCTGGAGATGATTTCGCGAATTATAATAATATGCACGTGACTAATATCACATGACTAATCCCGTCTATATAACTGTACATTTGAATGCATTTCGCTGAAGGGATGTTTCATCGAAAGTACATTTCATCGAATCCATTTTACCGAGAACCACTCTGCAGACGGTGATGACTGATGTCCATCCTCAAACTCCTCATAAGCTTTCTCTTCTATCGCTTCCCATTCCATCTCTTCTCCACACTGTTTAAATATATCTTTTAATTCCTCAACTTTGGTATCACCAATTTCAAGAATTTACGTTCCTTTGATGATAATTTTGATCCAGCTTTGTTCTCTTCAAAGAAAAGCGGTAATAGTTCAAACCGTTGGTATGGAATTTTCTCCTCTTTTTTCTTTCCATTTCTTTGTTTGTTCCACCTCTTCTGTCGTTGAAACGTTACCTTTTTGTAGTTTCTTACCCGTTACCTTATTATCTTCCTTAACTTCGTCATCTATTCCTTTCCTAAATCTATTAATCGTGTCCACTACTGCATCTTCAGTTATTGGCATCAATTTTCCTCCATCATCAACTGTACGACCTTTGTTGATATTTTTTTGTATTTTGATACTTACTAATGCCATCCAATTCAGAAAAAACTCTTTGAGGTGGCGTTTCGAACTAGGGATTGGAACCGTCCAAAAAAACCTTAACCGGTTAAAAACCGGTTAACCAAGGGTCTTAACCGGTTAATAACCGGTTAATATTAAAAATATTTTAAAAACTTTTTTTACTGCAAATTGTACCAATTTTTGATTTTACTTGCATATTTAGTTATAGGAAGACTATATATCACTAAAATTATTATAAATAAATAGAAAAAAATTCGGCATTAAAACTTCAAGTTTAGGAACACGTGGCCGCAATTTACATATCTCTGGGCCGCATTATATAAATCTGACTAGGATTATGATAAATATAGTTTTAACCGGTTAACCGATTTTCAAAATCCTTTAACCGGTTAACATTAACCGGTTCCAATCCCTATTTCGAACAAAGGTTCTATCAAATTTTCTTCATCGTGCTCGTCTTGCCTCTCTTCCGTTCTCTTCTTATCTTCTCTTTGTAACTACTCTTTCTTATTTTGTTTCTTCTCTCCTCTATATATCTCCTTTAAATTCCTAGACTTCCAAATCTTTTCTATAGTTATACCGTTTGCTACTATCGATTATTCCACCGCTTGTTTCATAGATTTTTGATCCTCAAGAGTTAAGATATGCTATAATTTTCCAATTTTTTGATATTTTAATAATCTTAGAAAATTTACTGATTGACGAGTCTTGATTAATTCTTTTGACAAACTCGTACGCGTTATTTTTACATTCTTCCATCTCCTCAACGGTTAAATCTTTTGTTAATTTTCAATGATCACGATCCTTCCGCTCTTTATTAAACCGTGCTTTCACCCTATACCACCTGATCCAATATTTGTTAATACCAATACTGAAAGAATTGTTGATTCAAAATTGTCACTTATTAAAATATTTTTCTCTAACGGATTTAGATTTGTATTAGACCTTCACTTTAATCCTAAAAACTTTTCCTAATTTCGAAAATTCTTTAACTATATCCAACTATATCCAATACTTCGGTATGTCGTAGAAAAATAAGTCACGTGATTTTTCTTTATCTGGTCTACCAAAATCGGAACATCTCCTTTTTCTTTGTTGATGTCTTTTTTGTTCAACGAAGATCTAGTTTTATTGAGTTGTTTCCCAACTCATTCTATAATTTCTTTGTTCGCAACATATCCTTATTTAGTTTGTTCACCTTTTGTCTAGTGTTCCGAAAGGGTCGAATCGGGTCGGGTTTGAGGATGTATTCGAGTATAAAAACCAACCCGTACAAATACCCAGGTTAATATTTATATGACCCGACCTCTGACCCGACCCGATATAGTTTAACCCCCGGATAACCCGGGTCCAAATAAAATTTTCAGATGTTCAGCAAAAACAATTATTTATTTTAGTAAAATTTAAAATATATAACTTTATTAAATCCTCCTTACGCCCAGCCTGATTTCAAACACATACACACGTGATTTGTATTGTATTTGACTTTAGATTGCCAGTTCCTCCAGAAAAAATCTTCAACTGGAACACTTGCAATTACAGGTAAAAAAAATTTAACCAATTTTAATATTATTCAATGATTACAAGATAATCTCTTGCCATTGCTGCTAGGTGTGAAATTGTGAATACTCTATTTAACTACGGTATATATTTTCATAATGAATTAATAAAATCTAATAAATTATATGATACTAATATTATTAAGCATATACCTTCCATCATAGTAGAACATCTTAATTTCGATCTGCTTAGTGTTCTGAAAGGGTCGGGTCAACCCCGGGTCATTTGACCCGACCCGTGTTTAAAATCCGAATCAGGTTTATCATTATTTGACACGAGTCTTATATTCAACCTGACCCGTCGGGTTAGGGTCACACCTTTGCTTGACTCAGGTTGACCCGGGTTGTCCAGGGTTTAATCAAATATTTATATTTAAAATATTTACGAACATTTATGTTATACGATTTTTAATTTCTAACTTTGTTTCTTCGAAAGCGAACTTATTTAAGAAGTCTATAACCCTTGAGCAGATCGAAATCAAGATGTTCTACTATGATGGAAGGTATATGTTTAATAATAACTAGTATATTTTGTTAGATTTTATTAATTCGTTATGAAACTATACTAGTAAAATATATAAAATATAGTAAAGTATTCACAGTTTCACACCTAGCAGAAATCCCTATAAAAAAATTGGATACGTTTTTTATAAAGTTTTTATACGATTTTTTTCCTTAGAAATAACGTATTATAATAGGATACGGAAAAATGCACAATTCCGTATCACTAAAAATATGGTTTGGATACGGAATTTGCACGGAATTCATATGGAATTTACATGATTTGATCACTGATTTTATCACGAAATTTATACCTGTCTCTTATACACATCTAGATGTGTATAAGAGACAGGAACAATCCTACAAAAAGGAAAGGACTCCCAAACTGATCTACAAAAAAGAAAAAAGAAACTGAATCTTCTCACAAAAAAAAATCTGCTGGCCTATGAAATAAAAAAAGGGATAAATATAAATAAAAAAGAAAGGGGAATAAAGAATAAATCAAAAAAAAATATTTTTTTAAAAAGAGGGGTAACGAAGTTAGGAAAGTTAAAAAAAATTTTTTTTTAAAGGGAGGACGTCAAAGTTAGAAAAATAAAAAATTTTTTATAGAGAGGAAATAGAAATAGTTAGAAAATTTTTTTTAAAAAAAAAGAAGAGTGGGAATAAAAGAATAAAATCAAAAAAATTTTTTTTTTAAGGGAGTGACGAAAAAAAATTTTTTTTTAAAGGAGGGTGACGAAAAAAAAACTTTTTTAAAGTGAGGTACGAAAAAAAAAAATTTTTTTTTAAAAAGGGGGTGACGAAAAAAGAAGAAAAATTTAGAAAAAATAACAAAAATAAGACAAGAGAAAAGAGAAGGAAGGGAAAGACAGAAAGGAAGATCGGAAGATCAAACTCATCGAAGTAAGGGTTTATATAAAAACAAAAAACGTATCATAACAAAACAATAAACAATCACGTGATCTCGTGTTATGATACGAGATTTTTGTAAAATTATTTTCTAAAAATATTAAGTTTAAAAATTCCGTATACATTCCGTATGATTAATTTTTTCCGTATACATTCCGTATACATTAGTTTTTTTAAAAAATGTTCAAAAATGAATTGCTTATTAAATATACGGAATTTGTATACGGAATCTATAGAAACATACATAAAATGTATACAAAACGTATCCTTTCCGTATACATATTTCTTATAGGGAATGGTAAGAGATTATCTTGTAATCATTGAATAATATTAAAATTGGTTAAATTTTTTTTTTTACCTGTAATTGAAAGTGTTACAGTTGAAGATTTTTTCTGGAGGAACCGGCCAAAAGAAGCAATCTAAAACCAAATACAAATCGCGCGTGTATATGTTTGAAATCAGGCTGGGCGTAAGGAGGATTTAAAAAATTATATATTTTAAACATATGAAAATTTTATTTAGACCCAGGTTATCCGGGGGTTAAACTATATCAGGTCGGGTTAGAGGTCGGGTCATGTAAATATTAACTCGAGTATTTGTACGGGTTGGTTTTTATACTCGGGTCAAGTTCGAATACATCCTCAAACCCGACCCGACTCGACCCTTTCGGAAATCTAGATCTGCTCAAGGGTTAAATACTTTTCTAGACTTTCACTTTCCAAGAGTTAATTTCTCAGCCTCACTCATTTTAAATACAAACAAAGTTAAGAAATTAAAAATCATGTAATGTAGTGCTCCTACCGGGTCAGATTCAGTCGGGTTTGAAGAATATATCTGACTTGACCCGGTAAAAATAGAAATGATCCAATTTTAACCTGACCCGAGTATATTTAATTCGAATAACCTGGGTTAGACCCGAAATTTTCATTGGATAATATACTGTATGCTTAGTAATATATCAAAAATATTTTTTCAAATATAATTTTTTCAATAACGCAAGGTAATTGATTTACAAGATGATCATATAGGTCACACAACTTTTTGTTATTAAAACTAAAGCTAAGCACGAATTTAAAGATATCTTCAATTTCCTGTTTATTTATTGCTTTATATTTGAACTATAAAATTGAAATTATATCACTTCCTTTAACAGAAATTTGACTATACTTTATATCTGCCAGGACTTTAAACACATGCATGCTCTAATTCTATCTGCTTTAAGACTACATCTTTTTGCAGCTATCAAATTGGTTCCACTGAAAACTATTGGAATGCTGGTTGCTTTATTAATCATCAAAATCAACTTATTAGTTAATGTAATGTTAATAATTAAAATAATAATTTATACACATACCCAAAATTGCGAGGTGTCTCTAGCAATTTTCGCTAAGTGAGGATATACTACCTCATTTATCTAACAAAATTATATAACGTAATCAATATTAATGCGTAATCGATATGTGATCAGTGATTTTAATGATCATCTGAGTCTAATTCAGGTCAAAACTCGAGTCAAGGAAATGAATGACCCAACCTGACGGGTCAGGTCATGCGGGTCACAGATTATTAAAATTGTTAGTACTGACCCGATTTAAAATTTACTCAGATTGAATTATCCAGATTAGACCCGAATTTTGCAAAGCACTAGTGTAACGTAAACGTTTTGTAAATATTTTAAATATACTGTAAATATCTGATTAAATCTGGGTCAACCGGGTTAACCCGGGTCAAGCAAAGGTGTGACCCTGACCCGACGGGTTGGATTGAATATAAGACTCGTGTCAAATAATGATAAACCTGATCAGATTTTAAACACGGATCGGGTCAAATAACCCGGGTTTGACCTGACCCTTTCAGAACACTACTTTTGTCTTACCATAAAATGCTCTCTTTTTAATCCATCTATTGCACTAATTCTTCCTTATTATTCGTGCTTTTTCTTCTATAATTTTCCTTATTTGTCTTCACATTCCTGGTCTTCTTACGTGCCTGCCGCAGTCATTCTCACAATTTCTCACAAGTCTACTTATTTCGGCAGTATATATGTCAAAGGATGTTCTAGCACAACTTAATATCAAAGCTTTAATAGTTATTCTGTAGCCTTTGTTATTAGCTTGATAAAACTTCCTTCTATCCCGTTAAGTTCCGTATCTTGTTTAGCACTTTCCGTAAGCATTATTTTACCCTGAGAGTAATATTTTCTGATATAAAGTTTTTATTTTCTTTTATAAACCTATGTCTATATTCTGTAAAATTGTATACTGACTTCATTTTGATATTGTTTTTGTGTGTTTGCTTAATAAAATTTTGGTTTAAACCACTTTTTTTCGTTGCTCCTTCCACTAAATTTTTGGTTGAAGTGATCAGCGGTCCTGCTTCTATTGTAGTTATAAATAAATCAGGAGGTGTTCATGAATATCGAAATTATGGGGGAGATACGAAGGAAGGAAAGAATAAAAAAAGCAAAAAAAAAATGAAGAGATGAAAAAAGAACAAAAAATGGAGAAGGAATGAAAATGAGATAAACAGGAGACAAAGTAAAAACCAAACCCATAAAATAAAGAAGAAATAAAGTTAGTAGGGAACGGAAATTACATGTAATAAATAAACGAAAACAAAAAGATAAAAAACATATCTTAGTAGTTGCATAGAAAAACCAAAAGATCTAAAAAGAGTGAAATACAAAATGTAAGAAACGAAATATAAGAATGAAATAAAAAATAAGAAACAGCCTAGTGCTGGATATATATACCTTAATTGCAAAACCAAAAGAACTAAAGGACCTAAAAAAAATGAAATAAAGTTAATAGGAAACAAAATGCAAAAAGCAAATGAAAAAAAAAAGAAAGAAAACGTACCTTGAGTGTTGTGCAAAGGAGCGAAAAGGCCTAAAGAAAAAAGATTATCCAAGTACGTTTAAAAAAAAAAATAATAAACATAAGAAATGATCAGCACATTAATTGGCCAATAAAATTTAAATGAGGTAATATCACCGGGTAAATTATATAAAATTATCACCCTAGGTGAAAAATTGCTAAATCACCCCGGGTGAAAATTAGTTATAATCTTTATCTAATATGTTAATAAATATAAAATTTAAATTCAAATGGATTTTTTTTTTTGAAAAATAAAATTTTTTTTAATTGAATGACTCATTATTTTATACTGGACATTATAAATTTTTTATATATCGTAAAAACCTGAAACAAAAATCAATCAACATGATCTGTTCATCTTAGCGCACCAATTAAAGTCAAATTTTGTACTATAAAGGAAATTTGATCAATGAATGCTGCAATGTAAAACTTAATTTATTTTTTTAATTTAATTGGTGTATATACGCATAGAATTAACAATTTATTTTCTATATAAACAAGAGGTCATTTTCATGGGGAAGCTTGACATGCTTTTAAAAGATCTTTTAAGTGAAAGTTATTGTAAAAAAAAATGACCAATTTATAAATATGCAAATTGTTGATCTCTCCTTTATAAATAAGCTTCGTTAAAATAAATAAATTTTTTAATCTAGCTTTTTCTTAAAATAAAATGAATAAACAAATGATTTTTTCTATTTATAATGAGTAAATTAAGTATAGAGAAATGGCAGATTTTGGTTTATTATAAGTTAAAATAGTAAAAATTTAAGGGAATTACTAAACGTGATCTGGGCAATTATCGCTTGGGGTTTTTTTCCAAATACAGTATGTCACATAATGTACAATATAGAGTTTATTAAACGGCTGATGGCTGATTTTTAACAGCTAATTTTTGATCGGCTAAACTTAAAATTTTATTGCAAAAAAAAAAATTTTACAAACATATTTATTTAAAATTCAAAATAATCTTATCTAATGAAATTTTATTTGCAAATATTAAAATTTAAGTTACACATTTACGATTTTAAAAGAAAAAAATCACCGTATTTTTAATGAAGTGATACAAATAAAAGAAATGATAGCAATAAATAAAAAGATAAGTAAATTACAATGATCAAGAAGAAAGATGCTAATAATAAAATGAAATAACAATAAAGTAATGGAAAGTAATAGAAGATGAAAAGGAGTAGAGTAGTGAGAAGTGATAGGAAACGAAAAGGAGAAATATGGCATGATGGTAGATGAAGAGGAGTGATGGAAAGATGAAGGGGAGTAATGGAATACGAAAAGGAGTGAAGATGAAGAGGCGTGATGGGAAGATGAAGAGGAATGATGGGAAGATGAAGAGGAATGATGGGAAGATGAAGAGGAATGATGGGAGACGAAAAGGAGTGATGGGAGACGAAAAGAAGTGATGAGAAGATGAAGAGGAGTGATAAGAAATAAAAAGAAATGATGAGAAGATAAAGAGGAGTAATGGGAGATAAAAAAGATTGATAGGATACTAAAAGAAGTAATAAGAAAATGAAGAGAAGTAATGGGAGACAAAAAGAAGTGATGGGAAGATAAGGAGTGATGGGAGACGTAAAGAAGTGATGAGAAGATGAAGAGGAGTGATAAGAAATGATGAGAAGATGAAGAAAAGTAATGGGAGACGAAAAAGATTGATAGGATATGAAAAGAAGTAATAAGAAAATGAAGAGAAGTAATGGGAGACAAAAAGAAGTAATGGGAAGATGAAGAGGAGTGATGGGAGGTGATGAGAGATGAAAAGAAGTGATAAGAACTGAAGATGAAGAGGAGTGATTGGAGACGAACGAAAATAATAGTGATGAAAATCAATGTTATACTTTAATTCCATGTTCTTCAAAAGTAAAATAATGTGATAAATATAATTTATTATTAACTAATTAATATAATTATTGTATATTATAATTGTTATAACAAAGTTTTTAATTAATTTATTCTATTAAGGTTATCCACATACTCACAATGGGGAAGTCATGCGTGGAACTATAATTGAACAAAAATGCAATGTTAAATTCATTAAATTTATACCATACGATTTGGTTGCATGTCTCTATATTGCATTAGTATGCATAGGTACGCATAATCACCCATCACCACCACGGCACTGCCTGAACACACTGTTAAAGATGAATTACAATCCATGATTCAAAATATTATCTCGTCAGATGATAGTGTAATGCCACATTCAATTATAACAGGTAAGTTTTTAAATATTTATTAATATAACAGCAACCATATAAATACTATTAAGGCAACTTTTGATAAAGATGCGTTAGCAGAGATACATGCATTTTCAAACAATATAGATAAGCTTCAATCTCTAGTTGCAAAATGTTATAAGAATATGCATAGCGTTCAATACAAAAAATTTGATATATATAATTATGTGCGTTGTATTGGTAAGTACTCACTTCTAGCTAGAGGTTCATCAGTTAGCATCATTAATCCCATCTATTTAAGAAGTTTATAATTGTCTTAAAAAATAGAAACTTAGTAATGATGATTGTATCATGAGGAATTTTTTATTGTTATTAGTTTTGTTTTAATTTTTATAATTTAATAAAAAAGCTTGATTATTAATTTGATAGATTGGGCCAAATATTATTGTCAACTCTATGTCTCTATGTCTTAGCATTATTAAATAAACATGATTCAAATATAGAAAATGAAATTTGTGAGTGCCATGCAAATAATACAAATATTGCTGAAGCAGCACATACTCAAGCCAATCGGAAAGAAAAACAGTTAAAAACTTCTTACAGCAATCATGTGGCAATTTTTTTATTTTTAAATTATAATTTATTTTTTAAATTTTTGATTTTTTAAATCTTTACTTTTTATTTAGAGTAGGCGTTTGGATGAAAGAATTTTTAAAATAGCAGAAACTCATGATAGGTATGGCATACCTTATACTAGAAGAGATAAAAGTGAAATTAAAGACAAACAAGAGCTATGATGCGAAAAAGTAATGACTAATGAGTAATAAGTAGTGATTTATTTATTAATTTAAAATTTACTTCATTCATATGAATTTAATAGGCAGAAAACAAAAAGAAATATTCAAAGAATCAAAAAGTCTTTATTTTCTAGGATCTAATACTTAAGGTTTTATTTCATAAATCTATTAATTTACACAATTTTTTTATTGTACTAGAAAAAGTTCCAATACAAGATATAAGCAATCAAGAAAAGCCAGAAAAAAGGGGAGTAAAATAAAAGGCAGCAACAAGCAGAAATATAAAAACTAAAAAAGTAGAGTTGATGTTATTGAAATTAATAGTGATCAAGAAAATGAAGATCAGGAAACTAGGACCCCGAAATATATATGTAGAGGTCAGGTCCAGAAGTGGTCCAAAATACGCATTCTTTCAGGGCCGGAATTACAATAATTTCAGCCATTATCTAAATTAGGAAATATTATTTTGGCTGGGATTATCCATAAAAGGAATGATCTACATGATTTTTTTGACTCATTATATGCAAACTCTGACCTGACCCTTTTATGTATATTTCGGGGTCCTAGGAAACTGTTTCTCTTCCCTTTTGTGATATTGAACCTCGAAAGTCGTAAAAGAAAAGGTTTTTACTCTCTTTTATAAACCTACATTTATATTCTGTAAAATTGTATGCTGACTCCATTTTTGTGGTTATTTTTGTATATTTGTGTAATAAAATTTTTCTTTAATAACACTTTTCTGTCTCCAGAAATTTTTGACTGAAAGATCAGCGGAAAGAGTTCCTTCCTTGTGACTTATGTGATATTTTGCGAAATGCCAAATATCATCGTCCCTGAACCAGGTATTTACACACAAAACATTCAAGAATTATGAAAATCTATATATCACAAATTTTATTATATTTTATCTTGTTTATATTTTTTTTTGTAGCAAGATGTAGCACAAAATTTCATTTTGGAGATAAAATAGTTTACTATTTTTAGTCACATCTTTTGTCACCTTAAAATTAAGCCGTGCTGGGATTTTTTGTGTAAAAAAATTTTTTTAGGACTTAAAAATTTTTTCGTGTTTTTTTAGTCTTTTTACTCAATTACAAATAGAAAAAGCTTATGTATATAAAAATTTTATGTTTTGTGTCTCTTTTATAATGGTTTTATAGTTTTTTTTTATAAAATTAAAATTGATTTATTTATATTATAGTATTATTTTCTTTCATTAGTAATTATCACTTTATAATAATTTGTAATTATTAAAAATATGCTAAAAAAATTTATTTTTTGTTGAAATATCAAGGAGTATGTAATAAAAAACTACAATATTTTATATAAATAAATTTTTTCAAAAGTTTTTTTACATAAGTAAAACCTATTCCAGATTAATTTTGAGGTGAATGACGTAACGCGTGCGGATAAAAGATTTCACCATGTGATCCAATATGCTCATAAACATATATAGTCCTTTCACTCCTTTGCTTTGCTCTGGACAACTCTCCACTCTTCATTCCGGAGTACAGACAATTGTAATTTTTTTTTAAAAAAATTGTTTCAAAAAAAATAAATAAATAAAATCTCTTTTTCTTTTCAAATCATCGAGGACTGCGCTTTAAAATATACATTTTACAACAAAACACCAACAAAACAAAACTCTAAACCTAACTGCTTTAAACCTGTTATTCCTTCTATTTTTTTTAACAGATCATCATTTTTAAAAATCCTCAAAGTTATTAATTATATTTAATAAATTAGATTTAAACTTGATTATTTAAATTAAACATACCACATCAAGATAACCTATCTCCTTCGCCAGAAACTACCAAAATACATATCAGAACAAAAAAATCTAATAACTATAAAAAAATATAAAAAAATACAGAAACTAAAACTATAAATAATAAAGCCCATCCTTCCAGAAAAGTCTCGTAGTTACAACTTACAACAAAAACTCTTTTACCACACTACGATGACTGCCGCATTCGTGTTGTTTATATTTATATCAGGACATTTTTTAAGTTGTCTGATCTCTATTTGTCACACCCACCCATAAAGTGTTATGTGTCACCAACTATGGCAAGCAGTAGTGGTTAAAAGTGTGTAGCAAAACATAGCGTGTACACGCTACAAAACATAGTGTATACACGTTATCTTTTACGGTGGGTTACCCCTGTTCTGTTGGATTAATCTGTTAATTTCAGGATAACCCGCCATAAAAAACAGCATGTATATGCTATATAATTTAACGTGTATACGCTTTATATTATAATGGTTTATTAATTTATTTTGGACCAAATTTTAAAATTTTCGAATACCCGCCGCTTCACATATCAGGTACCTGCCGCTTTACAAATCAGGTACCTACCGCTTCACATATCAGGTACCCGCCGCTTTACATATTGGGTAAACGCTATTTCACATATCAGGTACCCGCTATTTAATTTTTTTTTTAAAAAATTTTTTTTTTTTTTTTTGGCTTTTTTTATAAACAAATTTTGTAGAGAATTTTTATTTTTAATATAGGCAAAGGCTTTGTTTAATAGAATTTCATTGGGAATTTTTTTAATAAGAAGATTTTTTTTGATAAAAAATTTCGTTAGAAAATTTTTTTCATTAATAGGGACATTTCTGAGTTTTTTTTTTTGATGGATAATTTCGTTAAAAACTTTTATTTGATAGAAATTTCATTGGAGAATTTTTTTTAATAAGATTTTTTTTTTTTTGACGTATACTTAATTTGTTGGAGCAATTTTTTTTAACAGGAGAGATTTTTTTGATAGAGAATTATTTGAGATTTTTTTTTTT